ATTTTCATGCGGGGAAAAGCCCAGATATGGGTTCCTCATAACGAGAAGGTTCCGAAAAGCTGAAAAATTGGAAAACGAAATTCTGCCGAGCCGCTGCCTCTAAATACTACCTAGCAATGAGTATACTCAGGTATACTCAAGTATACTTCCCAAAAATGAGAATAGCGGGACTTCGAGATTGCCGACCATCCTAGCTCTACTAACAATAAGTGACTGACAGAAACGTTACCCTAACTTGTACTCACAGATACGAAATCAATCGCAATGAAGTTCTGCCATCTTCTTCATTCTCCTGAGTTGAATCAGATACATCTTGGAGCCAAGATGGCGAGAAGACGTGAGAAGTAGCTGTTCCTCCCAAGAATAGTGGAAAAACAGCTTCAAGAGAGAAGTTTATTCGTTAGCCTAACAGAAAACATAGAAAACAACAACGATCCACAAATCGAAGCGTCGCTTGACCCCGAATATGCCGCAAACATACAACAGAATGTCATAGTTACCGTAACTCCCACGTCTACCATAAATCGTTGGCTCTTTTCTCGTTTTCAGTTTTTTTTTTTTGTTGAAAGCATTAATTTACATTTCACATAGTGGCATGAGTTCTGTCTTTTGAGTTTTGTTTTTTAACGAGACATGAGCTTATGTAAGACGAAATCCGTCTATTTAAGAATGGATGAAGATAATCTGTTTGGTGGTGATCTGAGCGATAGCAGTAGCGACGAGGAGACTGAAACGGAAAACTCAAACGCCCCACCTCAAACATCTGTTTCTGTAAAGGAGGAACAAGGCACTGTCAAAGAAGAGAAGTAACACAGCATCAGCACTTCAAATCATTTTGATTCCTTGGTATTTTCCAGAAAAGATCCGTTGAGACCAAAAGTGAGCTTTTCACTAGCAGACGATGAAGAATCCAACGATGGCATATCCATCTTCAGCGGCTTGGGTGATAGCGGGGCGCTGAATTTACCTGTAAGCAAAGCTACGAAAAGAAAGGTTTGTTTGTGAACTCATATCTGAAGTTTTACAATCGTAAAGTGAAGCTTATACCACTAGTAAAAACTTGGTCAAGCTTTTTTTACTGCGCCTTTTCTTTTGAAGATTCAGTTTCCTCATAATGTTTTTCTCTGAAACTCTTTCTGATCACATAACGAGGACTGATTGCATTACAAATTGGAAGTTGCTTTGATTCAGAATACGTATACCTACAGTTGTTCAGAATCGCTGCAAAAACTATCGTTTGCTTCCGGTATTATACAACAATCAGACTCAACTGCAACGTGCTTTTACTTGCTGCGGCGGTAATCGTGCTTGGGTAACTGAACCGGCATCAAAAAATACAACGCGCAAATCCGCGCCTGCGACGTCAAAAAGCATTTCTGTATGAAAGTCAGATGTAATCCTAAATTCCTTCAGTCACTATAAGGCGTACCTTGCAAAATCTCGCCAATATTTAGGCCCCTTCACCTTCGCCGTCGAACACGGAAGCAA